TTTCCATTGAGGACAGTGTATATATACACATACGTACATAATTATACACATGCAGGATTATTCAGAATGATCGATACACTTTCATTCATGTATATTGCCTTGAAAATACAACAGATATTAATAATATCCACACATACATACAAGAGAGAGAGAGAGAGAGAGAGAGAGAGAGAGAGAGAGAGAGAGAGAGAGAGAGAGAGAGAGAGAGAGAGAGAGAGAGAGAGAGAAAGAGAAAGTCTAAAGCTTACAAACTCACAATAAAGTTTATAGATGTTCAAAATGGCCGCCGTCTGCTGCTCGGCAAACATCTAACCGGTAGCCGAACTCATCCCACACACGAAAAATCATCTGTTGCGTAATTGAGTTCACTGCCGCTGTTCCCTGTGTGGGTTCCGCGGCCCCATTGTGTGGAAAACAATAATAGACCCACTGCCTTCCCAATAAGCACGTCGTAAGAGTCGACTAATTGAAGGCTTCCTTTTGAAATCGGAGTGCATCTGCCTGAGAGGCTAAGAACCACTAATCTGCATACAATTAGTTCAGATCTGTTAAATGGATGTGGACATAACACTCAGGTTCTGGAACAAGATTAAAGTCCAGAAGTAGACAAACAACCAGAACTTTCCGCCTGAGTTTACAGCCGGTGAACGTGAAGAAGAAGAAGAAGAAGAAGAAGAAGAAGAAGAAGAAGAAGAAGAAGAAGAAGAAGAAGAAGAAGAAGAAGAAGAAGAAGAAGAAGAGCAGAAGCAGAAGCAGCAGCAGCAGCAGCAGGCAGCAGCAGAGAAGAGCAGAAGCAGCAGCAGAAGAAGCAGCTCGAAGCAAGCAGAAGCAGAAGCAGAAGCAGAAGAAGAAGAAGACGAGAGAAGGACGAAGACGAAGAAGAAGAAGAAGAAGAAGAAGAAGACGAAGACGAAGACGAAGACGAAGACGAAGACGAAGACGAAGACGAGGAGGAGGAGGAGGAGGAGGAGGAGAAGAAGTAGAAGAAGAAGAAGAAGAAGAAGAAGAAGAAGAAAAAGAAGGCAGCTGTGATGCTATTCTGCAGGTGTTTAATAGAGGTGTATTGTTAACTTGAAACCTCCCCATCAAGTATTTTATAAAAATGTAATGTATTTTGAAGGAAATATACATGAATCAACGAAACCCACTGCTGAATGCATGGATTTCTATCATGGTATAGGGCGTCGCAGGTCGACCCAGCCAAAAATGGGTACCAGGATTATGTCCCGGGGAAGTAAAGATGGCCGGCGTAATGCTGACCACATTACCCACCTAGTGGTCTGTAAAAATATGGATGCTCTACTCATATATAGGTGTGCTTATAGGTGTGCTTATAGGTGTGCTTATAGGTGTGCTTATAGGTGTGCTTATAGGTGTGCTTATAGGTGTGCTTGTAGGTGTGCTTGTAGGTGTGCTTGTAGGTGTGCTTGTAGGTGTGCTTGTAGGTGTGCTTGTAGGTGTGCTTGTAGGAGTGCTTGTAGGTGTGCTTGTAGGTGTGCTTGTAGGTGTGCTTGTAGGTGTGCTTGTAGGTGTGCTTGTAGGTGTGCTTGTAGGTGTGCTTGTAGGTGTGCTTGTAGGTGTGCTTATAGGTGTGCTTATAGGTGTGCTTCTAGGTGTGCTTCTAGGTGTGCTTGTAAGTGTGCTTGTAGGTGTGCTTGTAGGTGTGCTTGTAGGTGTGCTTGTAGGTGTGCTTGTAGGTGTGCTTGTAGGTGTGCTTGTAGGTGTGCTTGTAGGTGTGCTTGTAGGTGTGCTTGTAGGTGTGCTTGTAGGTGTGCTTGTAGGTGTGCTTGTAGGTGTGCTGGTAGGTGTGCTTGTAGGTAGGTGTGCTTGTAGGTGTGCTTGTAGGTGTGCTTGTAGGTGTGCTTGTAGGTGTGCTTGAAGGTGTGCTTGTAGGTGTGCTTGTAGGTGTGCTTATAGGTGTGCTTATAGGTGTGCTTATAGGTGTGCTTATAGGTGTGCTTATAGGTGTGCTTGTAGGTGTGCTTGTAGGTGTGCTTGTAGGTGTGCTTGTAGGTGTGCTTATAGGTGTGCTTGTAGGTGTGCTTATAGGTGTGCTTATAGGTGTGCTTATAGGTGTGCTTATAGGTGTGCTTATAGGTGTGCTTGTAGGTGTGCTTGTAGGTGTGCTTATAGGTGTGCTTATAGGTGTGCTTGTAGGTGTGCTTGTAGGTGTGCTTGTAGGTGTGCTTGTAGGTGTGCTTGTAGGTGTGCTTGTAGGTGTGCTTATAGGTGTGCTTGTAGGTGTGCTTATAGGTGTGCTTATAGGTGTGCTTATAGGTGTGCTTATAGGTGTGCTTGTAGGTGTGCTTATAGGTGTGCTTATAGGTGTGCTTATAGGTGTGCTTATAGGTGTGCTTATAGGTGTGCTTATAGGTGTGAAAAGTGGTCTTTACTTTACTCTACATGAATCAAAGTGAATCCTTCATTTCGAATAACCCTATATAAGTTACCAAACACAAGTCGCGGCTCTGTAGACAACCTTCATTGTGGGGACGGCACATGGTGTTTAGAGGCTACATGAAAAACTAAGATGCAACATCATTTCGCTCCATAAACTCACCCACCCCGCGAGGCTTTTTCACATCACCAATCTTCTTCTTCTTCTTCTTCTTCTTCTTCTTCTTCTTCTTCTTCTTCTTCTTCTTCTTCTTCTTCTTCTTCTTCTTCTTCTTCTTCTTCTTCTTCTTCTTCTGCAACTAGTGCTCACCGGCTGTAAATTCCGGCGGAAAGTTCTGGTTGTTCGCCCATCTTTGGACATAAGTCTTGTTCCAGAACTTGAGTTTTGCGTGCACATCCGTTTTACAGATGTGACACATTTCTCTGCGGACTTTTGGTTTCTCATTATCAGGCAGAGGCACTCCGACTTTAAAAGAAACCCTCCTAATAAATCACCTTGTACGGCATGCTTGTTACTGAGGCAGTTGGTCTATTCTGTTTTCCCGCCACAATGGGGCCTGTAACCCACATAAGAAACAGTGTAAACGAAAGTCAAACGAACCAAGCCTTTTCTCCTGCTGGCTCTAAAACGAACTTCCATCGAATTATGGAAGAAGAACTCGGTTGCTTAGAACTTAATTGTCAAGCCGGGTCATCCGTGTCTATTTCTGGGGTGGCAGACGATTGCTTTAAGTCATCAATATGTGGCATTTCTGTCGCAGCCAGACGGTAACTACGTTAGAACCATTTCAGGCATGGTTGCCGGATCGAGAGGGATACGATTAAGTCGTCCCAATATGGGACGCATTTTTGCGTGTGGCTATTTTAAAGCCTTACTCTGGCTGTTGTCGGGGGCCTTAATATAACCTAATAACCCCCGTGTGGGTTCTGGGGCCCCATTGTGGGGGAAAACAAGAATAGACCCACTGCCTCCCCAAAAGCATGTCGTAAGAGTCGACTTATTGGGGAGCTTCCTTTGAAGTCGGAGTGCATCTGCCGTACAGTATGTATTCAAGAGAATGAGATCTGTAAAACTGATGCACACGCAAAACTCTGGTTCTGGAGCAGCACTGCAGTTCAGTAGTGGACGAGCGACCAGAACTTTCCGCCAGTGTGTACAGCTGGTGAACGCAAAGAAGAAGAAGCAGATAACCTAACAATTTAACAGGGTTTCTGGGTCTTGGGCCCTGGTGATTCTCATCCGAATGCTGACACTTTGTGTCACCGAGTGTTTATCACTCGTTGTGCGGTTCTGATTTGGTTGAACATCATTCACTCATTCGACAGAGAGATCCAGACTAAATAGTCAAATAAAAAAGTAAAGGACCTTACTCTTTACGTCCTTCTTAGGACGTTATTTTTTGTTATTTGAAGCCCCACTCTGGCTTTTGCCAGGGGCCGCAATATAGGCAGGTCATCATTATGGCCAAATGTCTGAACGCGGTTTCTGGGACCTCTCCACGGTGATCCTCATCCGCATGGTGCACTTTGTGTCATCGGGTGTTTATCGCTTGTGTGATGTCCTGGTGGGGTAAAAAGCCAATCCAGTAAAGGACCTTTCTCCACGCCTTTAGGCCTATGGGGCATATAGGGCTAGACCTATATTTTTATAGACCAATCGGCACAAGGTGGGTGATGTGGTCAGCATCACGCCGGCCGCCTTTACTTTCCCCGGGACTGCACCTGGTACCCACTGAAGGCTGGGTCGACCTGGGAGCCAGGGTTATTGTTGAGACTAAAAAGCCTTGCCACAAATAAGGACGGGCTGGGAAAAAAAAGTTTTGTCAAGGAAATAACGCCGCCTATATTTATAATGCAGCCACAGTGATGCGTGTAACATTCATATAACTGATACGGTATATGCATGTGTATGTGTGAGTTATGTTCAAGACAGGTCAAATTTCGCCCGTGAGGTCTGTCAATACTTTATCGGTGTAAACAGAGAACGGGGAGAACAAGAAGGAAGATAGGAGGAGGAAGAGAAGAGGAAGTAGAAGATAACGATGATGATAAAAATAATGAAGATGATGATGATGATGAATGATGATAAAGGAGAAGGAGGACAGCAGAAGAATCAGAGTACTGGAAGAAGAAGAAGAAGAAAAAGAAGAAGAAGAAGAAGAAGAAAAAGAAGAAGAAGAAGAAAAAGAAGAAGAAGAAGAAGAAGAAGAAGAAGAAGAAGAAGAAGAAGAAGAAGAAGAAAGAAGAGAAGAAGAAGAAGAAGAAGAAGAAGAAGAAGAAGAAGAAGAAGAAGAAGAAGAAGAAGAAGAAGAAGAAGAAGAAGAAGAAGAAGAAGAAGAAGAAGAAGAAGAAGAAGAAGAAGAAGAAGAAGAAGAAGAAGAAGAAGAAGAAGAAGAAGAAGAAGAAGAAGAAGAAGAAAGAAGAAGAAGAAGAAGAAGAAGAAGAAGAAGAAGAAGAAGAAGAAGAAAGAAGAAGAAGAAAGAAGAAGAAGAAGAAGAAGAAGAAGATGAAGAAGAAACATCAGTATCAAACACCGAATGCATACACAGTAACCGTAGCTACCACACACCGAAACAATCCCCACTCGTGCAATTATTCCCCAGATTTTACCTCTATTGGACTGGACGGCCATTTGGAACGAAGGCTGTCTTGTGAGAAACCCGCTTTATGAGCCGATGAATGTCACAATGGCGGACTGTGAGGTCAGTAGTCTTCAGTTAAATAAGCTTCAGTAAAAGTAGGACAAGCCGCTGTGGTGGAGCGCCTAGACACTCGCATTCGGATCCTAAGTTCCTGGGTTCAGGTTCTGACGGAATCGGATCTTTTGTTTGAAAAATAACATTAGCTTCCAGATCGACCCCGCCTTAAACGGGTTCCAGGAAATGTCATGGGAAGTAAAGACAGTCGACGTGACGTCGATCTTTTCACCCACCGAGTTTCGATTGGTCTATAAAATATAGGTCTAACCCTATATGCCCAATACACCTGAAAGGGCCGTTTATTTACTTACTTGAGAACCGCTATTAAGTGGCGGGTCAGAAGGTCAGAGGTTCAGATACACCTCAAGTCATATTATTTTAAACAGATTTTGGACCCAGGTCGACCCCTTTTAAAAAGGGTGTCAGGTTAAGTCCTAGGAAGTAAAGGCGACATAAATGATGCAGACCACATATATCCATCCATCCGTTTTTCAGACACAAAAAAATTCATCACGTTCAACCAACATTCCCGAAGGAGGAGGTTTTGTTATACCTGTGGCAGGTTTTTTGAGCCATTTAAAATAGCTTAACATTGCTGGCCACTCGGCAGCCCTGAAAAGGACTCTTTCTGTTTTGATGCAAACACAGGAGAGCGACCCAAATACTGTCCCGACCAACGATGAAGTCGTCTACCGGCCAGCCAATGGGCGACCGGGTCGCCGATGCCGACCCGATCACCCACTGGCCTTTTAAATAAAGATATACAGCAAGTTTTCAACATCTTTCAGGTGGCGACCTTTGAATATATATAAGGCAACACCCCCTCACCACCTCAACCGTCGCCCACCCTGACCCCCATAATCTCCAACTTAAAAACGAAAATGTGACTGAGAAGAGGAGGGCAAATCTAAAAATCACAGGAACTCTTAAAAAGAACATGGGGAAAAACATCCACAAAAGTCAAAGTGTTAAATAATCGAACATCCTTTGATTTTTATTTGATGAATACAGTGGTACCTGGGTAAACGTTCGTAATCTGAAGGGGCTGCGTGGTCTCGAGGCATGGTGTCCGCCTCGAGTGTTAGTGGTTCCGGGTTCAATCCCCCGCAAGGGCTTTGATTTGTTCATTATAGACTTGGACTTCTAGTAATTCCCCCTGGTCTCTGGGTAGTGTTGTTTGTTTGTTTTAGTATCCAGAAGCCTTGAGTTGTTAACCCTTAGGCTCGGTATTATGGATATCGCAACCTTTCGGCCTTGATTCCATTGTAAATACCGTAAATCTGGGAGAAAATGTGGCTTTCCTGCCTACCCCCGGGATTGAACCCGGACCACAAGGAGTACGTCACCCGGTCTCCGCGAAATCCGGTTTAGCCAATTCCGCTAGAGAGCCGGGTCTCTGGGTAGTGAGATCGGATGCCCGTGTGCATTGTTGCGCACGTACAAAATCCCTTGGCAGTTGGAAATCGAAAATAATGGCCTCACGGCGCTGCCTGGGCCAGATTTGGAGTTACAAATCTTTCCAAAGTAATTCAGGATCCTCGCCGGTGCTACAGAGCCTGTGCACTGTGCTAAGCTGCTTCGGACTCAGACTTGAGGCTTTGCTTTTAGTGCCCCCCCCCCCCCCCCCACCCCCCACACACACAAACACATATGCTATCTTATATACAATTCTAGGTATGTGAAAATACAGAACAGTTGGCGCGGCTGCACAATCTGGACAGTTTTCTTCTCATGAGGTTACGGGAGCAACACGTACCATTCATTGCGGAGGACGCTTCTGTTAACTGGAAAAACAACAGCAACATCACACTTGCTCAGCTAGCAGGGGTAAGTACACGCATTAAAAAAAAAAGACTGGTTGGCCTCCTCACTGGCGTAGGTGTTGCGAACGGGTTTCATAATGTCAGGGTGCTGGGTTGGATCCCAGCTGGAGGCGATTTGGCAGCAGACGGTCTTTAGTTGGTTTCCACAGCGGTATCAAGATGCGACCGTTTAGGACTGGCGCAAACTACTGAAAGTGAATTTGCCTACATAAATCACGGCATCCTTGAGTATACATCACCTTGGGTCGTTCTGTAGGTCTGGTTCCCTGGTGTGTAAGTCTTTTGTGCGGCTACGTGTGTCTGTCT